TTCATGAAAAACTATATGAACGGTAATAATATGACCGTTAGTTCTAGCCCGGTAACCAAATATGCGAACAAGTAACCGTTGAAGTTTCACCCGTCTTTCGTGGAGTGGCGTAATACTCTCTGTGAGAAACGCGATATGAAGTGAATTATGAAATATATTTTTCACTAGTGTTTTTCATATCGCAGATGTAACTCATTTCTATGCATATGAATAACACTACCATGGAGTCTCACCCGTTTAACGTGAAGTGGTGTAATACTTCATGTGAATTACAAGACGTATATGTTTCCGCGACCAACAACACACTTGTTTTCCGCGAAGTGAATTGAAAATACTTCGCGAATTACACCGAATAGATGATCCCATATCATGTGAAACACATCACGTATTCTACGCGTTATTCACTGCTCACATGCATTTTTTCGCCAACTGAAATATACAAAATATATTTTTCACATCACGAGTGGACCTCCAACATCAGAAGACCCACACTCCAACAATGAAGTTGTACCCTAGTGATATAAAAAACACTAGTGAAAAAATATATTTCACGACTACTGCATATCACCGCGAATTCCGCATTTTTCACCGAGTTTTACGCCACTTCACATGAATGATACTCACCACGAGATGTCATAGCAGGGCTTCCAATTCTCAGCCCGCTCGGGTTCATCGCACTCTTATCCCCCGGCACAGTATTCTTATTCAGAGTAATCGACGCCAACTCACAGACCTGTACGGCGCCAAACGCATATCGCGCGCGCCCAGATAATCGATTACAATAACCAAAACTATAATTAATACTTTCAAGCCAGATGGATATAATCGTGCGTTAAAAATCACATTTTCAAATCGCTTTCACAATTATCACATACTCTCATACTTTCAGCATATACCCCCTTCTTACGCGGTGCTTCCCAACTATTAATTCTAAACGCCTCCCACTACTCCAATTCTACTCCAGTGTGGCAAAATTTGCACAAGAGTTGGTGAAAACATCAAAATTCTGAGAAAAATTTGGAGAATTTCTGTCAGGTTCTCGTACATAAACTCCTATGATTAGTAAGGAAACCATTGAGCTCAGCTGAGGAAAACGGGTACATATTTTGCAGCACTGTTCTACTCATTTCTAAACCTACATCGTGCGTAATTTTATCACGTTTTCGGCCTATAAGAAATACCACAGTTGAAGTTGGTCTCACCTTTTCAACTTTGCTGCCATTAACGCCCTTGTTTTTCAAGTCGACGAGCATCAAATGATTATCGGTGCCTGATCGTCAACTCTGTAGTTCATAAAAACCCCTCTACTAGTTCCCACCATCAGAAACGAGTTTAAATCCTAATTTCTGCATTTCGCC